TTAATCCATAACTGAAGAAAGAAGATGTGGATTCATATCTTTTCTATGGATATTTGCTCGAAAGTGAATATAACGAACCCAATAAACATTAGAACTCGCTTCTCCGATAAACAATTCTGAACCATTATCCATTACACTACCTCACATCTCTCTTCTCTCTTCTCTCTCTCTCTCTCTTCTCTCTCTCCCTCTAACTATCTATCTATCTATCTCACTCTCTTTCTTCTCTCTATCTATCTATCTATCTCCTCTCTCTCTCTCTATCTCTTCTCTTTAACTATCTATCTATCTATCTCACTCTCTCTCTTTCTCTCTCTCTCTCTAACTATCTATCTCTCTCTCTCTCCTCTCTCTCTCTAACCATCTATCTCAGGCTCTCTCTCCCTCTCTATCTATCTATCTTCTCTCTCTCTCTCTCTCTCTCTCTCTCTATCTATCTATCTCTCTCTCTCTCTCTCTCTCTCTCTATCTATCTATCTATCTATCTATCAATCTATCTTTCTATCTATCTCTCTTTCTCTCTCTCTCTATCTATCTATCTCTCTCTCTCTTTCTCTCTCTCTCTCCATATATATATATATATATATATATATATATATATATATATATATATATATATATATATATATAGCGAGAGAAAGAGATAGAGAGAATGATGAAACAGTAAGGCGAACAGACAATCAAATATGTGTGCATATAGCTAGAATCAAATGTATATATAAAATATACATGTTGCTCCATATATATATATATATATATATATATATATATATATATATATATATATATATATATATATATATATATATATATATATATATATGCATGTATGTACCTTTTAATGAGAGTTCTATGTACGTGGATATGCTGAAATATTCTAGGCCCAACCAAATTATCTTTCCCAAAAGAATTTGATATTTGTTAAAATCATTTTTCCAGCAACACCCACTAATACATACATTTTCTGATATATATATATATATATATATATATATATATATATATATATATATATATATAGATATAGAGAGAGAATGAGAGAGAGTGAGGGAGAGAGAAATCAACGAACTGAGATATATTGTAGTAATTAGCGTAGTTGATGCAGAAACTTTTCATCTTTTATTGAAAATGGATTCGTCTTTCGTATTTTCACTTCTTTACTCCATTTCTATTTCTTTTGCTTTTTTTCTTACTCTCTATGCACCTCTCTCTCTCTCTCTCTCTCTCTCTCTCTCCCTCTCTCTATCTATCTATCTATCTATCTATCTCTGTGCTACTTCTGTCTTGCTTCTTTTCTCTATACTTCCTCTCCCTATATCATTGTCCTATCTTTCCTCTCTCAATCTCTCTCTCTCTTTTATATTTCTAGCCTTCCCCTTTCTAACTCATCCCGTTTCTCTCTTCTCTCTCCCCTCTTTTTCTCCTATCTCCCTCCCCTCTCTTTCCTTCTCTTATTGTTTTTATTTGTCGAATCTTCATTCTTTGTTGGTTTTTTCTTTTTACATTTTGTTTTTATTCTTTCCCCACTTCCATTTTCTCCTAAGATAAATTTTTATGTCGTTTTCTTTTATTTTTCTTCACTCATCCTGATCATTTATTTTTGCTCTTTTCCCATGTCTATCTTTTCCGATTACTTTCCTCCATCTGCTCTTGCAAAACGACAAAACAAAATCCCGATATTACAGGACTGCCCGTTGTCATAACAACATTCGACGTCATAGCGATGTTGACGATGCAGAATTTTGTCTTCCATTCTCATCTTCGTTTATTCCTCATTTTTCCTTTCCTTCCTCCTCCTGCTTTCTCTCTCTGTCTTTCTTTCTTTCTTTCTTTTTTTTTTTTTTTAATTTCGTTCTCTCTCCGGCAAGCTGATACTACACCTTTACTTTTATCAGCTAATTTTTTTTCTTTTTCTCATTCTTCCTCCCAAATACAAAATACCTTTTTTTTTATCTGTTATGTCGATGCGCATGTGCAAATATACTAACTCTATTTTCTCTCCTTCTCACTTGTTCTTCCTCTGCTCTTTTGTTTCCCTTCGTTTTCAATTCTGTTTTCTTCCTTTCTTTTTCGTTTCTTTGTTTCTGTCTTTCTCCTATTGTTTTATATTAAACTCTTTCCTTATACTCACCTTTTTAATCTCTTGTTTATCAGAGAACTTGCCGACTTTTGTTTTATCATCTGTCATGCACAGATACATATATGGATACTGAACGGTTTCTATGACAATATGTCTGGGAAACTGCTTACGCACATATTGTAAGCGATAGATAGATAGATAGATAGATAGATAGATAGATAGATAGATAGATAGATAGATAGATAGATAGATAGATAGATAGATAAAACTAGCATAGATATATAGATAGATCAAACTAGCATAGATAGATCAAACTAGCATAGATAGGTAAATGAAACTAGCATAAATAACACTGGCATAGATAGATAGATAAAACTAGATACAGATAGATAGATAGATAGATAGATAGATAGATAGATAGATCAAGATAGCATAGATAGATAAATGAAATAGCATAAATAACATGGCATAGATAGATAAAACTAGCATAGATAGATAGATAGATAGATAGATCAAGATAGATAGATAGATAGATCAATGAAACTATATAGATATAAATAGATCAAACTAGCATAAATAGATCAAACCAGCATAGATAGATAAATGAAATAGATAAATAGCATAGATAGATAGATAGATAGATAGATAGATAGATGATAGATAGATCAAACTAGCATAGATAGATCAAACTAGCATAGATAGATAAATGAAACTAGCATAAATAACACTGGCATAGATAGATAAAACTAGCATAGATAGATAGATAGATAGATAGATAGATAGATAGATAGATAGATAGATAGATAGATAGATAAAACTAGCATAGATAGATAAATATAGATAAATAAAACTTGCATAGATAGATCAAACTAGCATAGATAGATAGATAGAAAAAAGATAGATAGATAGATAAAGATAGATAATAGATCAAACTAGCATAGATAGATAGATAGATAAATACTGGCATAGATAGATAAAACTATATAGATAGATAGATAGATAGATAGATCAAAGATAGATAGATAGATAGATAGATCAAACTAGCATAGATAGATAAATAAAACTAGCATAAATAACACTGGCATAGATAGATAAAACTAGCACAGATAGATAGATAGATAGATAGATAGATAGATAGATAGATAGATAGATAGATAAAACTAGCATAGATATATAGATAGATCAAACTAGCATAGATAGATCAAACCAGCATAGATAGATAAATAAAACTAGCATAAATAACACTGGCATAGATAGATAGATAGATAGATAGATAGATAGATAGATAGATAGATAGATAGATAGATAGATAGATCAAACTAGCATAGATAGATCAAACTAGCATAGATAGATAAATGAAATAGCATAAATAGATAGATAGATAGATAAAACTAGCACAGATAGATCAAACTAGCATAGATAGATAAATGAAATAGATAAATAACAGATAGATAGATAAAACTAGCATAGATAGATAGATAGATCAATGATAGCATAGATAGATAGAAACCATAGATAGATAGATAAATAAAACTAGCATAAATAACAAACTAGCATAGATAGATAAATAAATAGATAGATAGATAGATGGCATAGATAGATAAAACTAGCACAGATAGATAGATAGATAGATAGATAGATAGATAGATAGATAGATACGCTCCAATGGTGTTGACTCCTGTGTCTGAAGTAAATTTAACTCTCTGTTTTACACCAATGTTTCTTTTTTTACTTTTATTGAACTCTTTGTTATGATCATTTTAATGAAATTAGCCTCGTATTTATGCTTATAGATTCTTTTTCATCTTTGTAGATTGTGTTTGCTTTTCTTTTAGCATTATTTTCAAGAGAGAAAAAAAAGAAGGTGGGAAAAGTTTTCGTGTGTCGCGTTTCATCCTTTAAGTCATCATCGGACTAAATAGATATTCACGTTCATGTGACTATACATGCGAATAAAGAGAAGTTGCGTACGCTAAGAATTTTAAACTTACATCTTTTTTTGTAATTTCATATATGACGTTGATATCTCTCCACAGATTCCCGTTTCTCGTTGTTCTTTAAGTAACTTTTGACCTTTTACCATGAATTTTTATGTCTCTCTCCTACCATTCATTTCCACCATGTTAAATTATCAACGTCCCTTTTCCTAATTATTCATTCCCGAAATTGATTGTAATTATCAGTTTCTTTTTAACTTCTTATTTCCCTTAAAACCTCCTCGTTGCTCACATGTTCTGTTTATGGTATTCACGACATTCGTCAATAGAGCTACATTTCTTTTTTCTTCTTCACCTTTTCTTCTTCACCTTTTCTTTTTCTTCTTCATTTTCTCTATCTTTTGTCATAGAGAAGAAGAGTCAGTCATTTATGCGTCATGGGTGACAAATCACATGATACCTCCGGTAGACCAGTTGCCATCCAAGGCTATAGAACCCGGTCTGTCTTGCTATTTATCCATATTTATCTATTTATTTATATGGTGGGAGAAGAGGATTCACACCTTCCCCAAGGGTATGAGCACGTAAGTGGATGTATTAGATTCGACTGGAATTCGAACTCGGCACTCCGTTTCTTCAATCCAAGCCGCTATCCATTACTCCACCGTACACTTCTTTCTTTTCTTTCTTTCTTTCTTTCTTTCTTTCTTTCTTTCTTTCTTTCTTTCTTTCTTTCTTTTTTTTTTTTTTTTTTTAACAAAAATTTTCTATCTCTTAATACTTTTCTTAGATTCTGGGAATATATCTTTCGCTATTTCAATGCATATTCGAATTTCCGTGTGACATTTTCCTTTATAACCCCAGAATACCTGTACCTGCTTTATTTAACGTCCCCAATATAATTTACATTCTTCATTTTTCTGACAACCATGCTTCATGTCTTCTTACAATAAATATTCCTTTCTTATATATTTACTTTTTTCTTGCGACCACATTACGTTGAAACACCGGATCCCGTACAATCACCAAAGTTAAGCAACGTCGATTCTGGTCAGTACCTAGATGTGTGACCGCTTGGGAATACCAGGTGCTGTAAGCTTCGATGTGCGAAAGGTTTAATTGGGAATGGCTCGGAATTGTTAATCGGGTAGCCGAGTTCCAGTTCCCGTAGGATTCGTTATATTCACTTACCCGCAAATACCCTTGTGTAAAGGTATGAATCCACATCTCAAATCTCTCCTAGCTATGTACTAATTAATAAGTATCGTATCATTATTATCTCCAAAATGTTCTTACAATCTGAAAATATTTTCTAGCTTTAAATAACCTGGAAAGCATCGATAAGTCAATCAGTTATTCTAGCTTTCCTTTACTACTTTGTTTAAGACTTATTTCAGTTTTCAAAGTCTCTAACGAATTTATACATTTTTTTTAAGTTGTCAATATGATGTTTCCAATAATAAATTCTGGTAAGGCTGTTTTTTTATGGTGATTTTGCTGTATATGTTGAATAAACTCAATGAGAAAATGCATTCTTGTCTTAGTCCTATTAAGACTATCCTTTTTCAAGCTGATATTAACGACGATTTTTAACATATTTTCTTTTTTGCTTTCTCCGATGTGTTTTGTGAAGGGCACATTTTCATAGTAATAATTATACTTTTAGCGGGTTTTTCTTAGTTCCCGAACACGATCTGAATATTCTGGGCCCCATACAAGTAATAGAATAAAATAAAGTACATTTCGTAATAAAATATTAATATGGAAAAATCGTAATCTAAAAAGCAACAATAAGTGTTGTGGATTCCGAGATGAAATCCGATCTCAAATGAATGACAAACGCAGGAATGAAATATAGCAAATAAATGTATTGACGTAATAATACAATTGGTAATACGGTTAGTAGATCCAGAAATGCGGTAAGTAGCAATAATAATATATATATAGTCTGGGAAATTCACTATCGAAGTATGACTTCCTTCTGAGTCTACGTGCTCGCAACTGTGACTCCTACAAAGCGGTTACCTCACTCTCTCACTGTGTCCCTGTATCAGAGTATCGCCCTCTTGTAACTTCCGGGCATTCACCGGCAGCAGTACAAGTACACACTGGTTGAGTCCACTTGTATGAAAAAGGGGAAAAAGATGTTAATATAGAATAGGGGGGAAAACTTGCTTAATGTAAGAGCCATATACGATATAGTACAGAGGTTTGAGAGCCGCAAGACACGTAGCACATAGCAGATAAGGCACAAAGGTTTACTTCCTTTAACGGTGAATTCAAAATCTTCCTCCATCTTTGGTTTAAAATTTCAGTTTTCATCTTCATATTTTAGTTTTTTATAATTTCGGGAGACCATCTTCCTTCACAAAATTTTCACAGACACTTCTAAACAAAACTTGTATCCGAAGAGTGACAACTAGGTCTGCGCATTTCAAAGTCTTGTATTACACTGCATTAATGTACATAACTTGAGTGTTTTCCCTTAATTTATTTACCCATGTGCTCAGTTTTCTGACATTCGTCTGTAACCCTTGCTGACCGGAAATTTCTTTCATCATTCCTCGCCTCAGCACTAAAGAACAATGCCTCATTCAGATCTAGCATTAAAATTAGGATTTAAATTCTTAAATATTTTCACTAACCAAGAACATTAAACTTACTTTTTAATCCACTGGAATTTCAATTCATACCCAGTAAATAATTATAAAGCCGAAAAATATTTCTTATTTAATTCTTATATAAACTGCGATGAAAAAAGAAGTTCAGCCAACATCTTTCCACGATCCGCATATTAAAGGTCAAAGAGCCGCATATTAATGGTCAAAGAGCCGAATGTGACTCGTGAGCCGCGGTCTGGCCACCCCTTATCTAGTATATAAATACTTGTTGATTTTGCGTAGGTGTCTAGCCATATGACAGTATATTTGTTTGAGCATGCGGGGACGATGGGGGAAAATAAAAGCGCATTCTAAATAGAAACATGTAGAAACTACAAAAATGACTTTCAAAAATTTCGAGTAAACTCCTATAAATCTAATATGGCAAAAGTAAAAAAAATAATTGTTTTAAAACAATAATTCAGTCATGTTTGTGATATCAAAAAGATTTTGTCTGTATGTTCAATTCGCTTTAAAAAAAAAAAAAGAAAAGAAAACGCATTTTTTATATTTTTCGTCAATGCTTTTGCTGTTGCAGATTTAGTTATGGTACACATGGCTACAAAAGTCCAAATATTGTCGCGATTTTTTTTGTCTTAATTTTATTCCAAAGCGTAAACTCTTAACTCAAACCATATATCAGCATTTTCACTTCATCACTAAAACCTCAAGTGGAACACGTATATTCGACCCATCGCTAAAGATACTGTAAAAATGGTCCGTTCTCTGTGCCAACTCAGTAAGTACCCGAGTCCTCCTGATATCCTCTATCTTTAGAAGAGATAGATCAGGCCGAAAATGAAGTATTGTTGCCAGATTTGGACAGGATCTGTCCAGTCTTCAGTTTCCAGTCTCGATAGTTTGTGGGTGATTAATTACTTCCCACCCGACAACCCGTTTCTCATAGACGAAATTCGCAAGCCAGATGCTGCTGTATCACTACTTCCTTAGAAAGTGTCCAGGCGAGCTATAATCCTTAGTTGCACCAGTTCTAACTCCCACAGCTAAGACCAATTATGCCATTCACATTGTAGCCAAACATCTTCATTTCTTTCATATTCCACTGGTGAGATGTAAGCGTCACTCAAGTAGATTCTTCCTTCGAATGGTTGCTTTGGGGAATCGACTCCCAAGAGAATGCTACCTCGATCACTATAATCTTAACCTGTTCAAGTCTAGATAACGTTATCTTCCCTACATATCCCTAATAACTGGATCTCTTACTATGTAAGCTTCTACGTCAGGGGCCTTGCACAAGGTGAACATTATTATGAAACAAATCACTATTTTTATTTTATCTTACCATTGCTTTTCTTGTCTTTCCTTTTTTTTTCAGGTCGATAAAATTCAACCGTGAGATAAAACAGTGGAATAACCACCATTATGGAAGTAGCTTTCGATGCATTCCAAGTTTACATTGATAATCAAGAAATGCTAGGTATTAAGAAAAAGTTCATTAAAAACGAAGAAAATGTACTGAATTGTTATATCATATCAGTCTTTCTATATGGAAGTCAATGCTGGACAATCTCCTTACAGATGAGGAAGAATAGAAATGTGGTTCTACAGAAAGATATTAACGTTACAAATGGTTTCATAACATTTCCCACTGATCATTTTTGTAAAAAGATACAAAAGATTTTGAGTACATTTTTTTTTGTATTTCTTTAAGGCATGGGACACCAGTAATGATTTCAATGAGGTTATCGGAACCTTTTCCAATCGATCCGAGAGCTCTAACTAGAACTGGAATCATTGATATCCTCATGTGCCACATTTTTTTAGATTTCCACATCAAGATCCGTGTATTTTTATAGTTTTTAAAGATTTTCAAAGATACATTACAAACTGCAGTGACTGACATGGCAATAAGAAAGCACATTCTTTTTTTTTTTTTTTTTTTTTGGTGGTCTTTGCTCACGATTTCTGGCCGATTAGCTTTAATTTTTCTGTTGGCGTGTATTGTAAAGTCCCATAAAATTGTTACCGGTCTTATCTCTGTAACCGGGTCTGGGTGATGTTCATACCAGTTTCTTGCAGTTTCCTTCCCGCAAAAGTTGCATATTTTCCAATGTAGATATTGGCTCACTCTATCATGCCGAGTATTATATTCAGTTACTGTGCAATCTGATGATCAATTGTTTCTGGATATTTATCACAGAATCTGCATTTGGGGACAACACAATTTTTCAGTATGTGTACTTGATAATTTCTCGTTAGCAAACATGTGTTCTATGCGGTCAGAATAAAAGCTTCAGTTTCAGCTTTTAACCCTGCACTACATAACCACTGATGGGTATGGGGTTTGTATCATTATTATTATTATTATTATTATTATTATTATATTTTAATATTATTATTATCATTAAAAACAAAAACGGTAATTAATCATGATTGAAGCTAATATCTATATATGAAATTCTGTGACTTCCGCCCATCCGCCAGTCCACCAGTCCGTCCGTCCCACCCTGTAAAATAACCATACGTTGACCGATCGAAACCGGAGAGAAGTGCAAGCAGTTAGAGGAGGGGGGTACAGTCGCTTTTACTAAGGTGTGTAGCTTAGTACAATAAATTTTCATTAATGTTTTTGTTAAAATTGAAAGTTTTATTCTTTAACATACAAAAAGGCCACCACTATTTTAAAAACAATTCAATGATTCAAATAACAAATATTTCATTAATAAAAAATGCAATATTGTTTTTTTTGTTTTTTTTGCATATCTTTTAAGTTGGTATATCTACAATAATCAAGTTTCCTGTTCGCCCTGCGTTTGTGAGAAATATAAACAATTCACATGGCCAAACGCTTCAAAAAGTGGGAATTTGGCTCTAGAAAGAAATATTGCTCAGTTGTATGTTGCACGCTCAAGAGTAAGAAATCCTAAGAATTTATTCTTCGCTGTTAAAAAGAAAAAAAAGAAAAGAAAGAAAAAAAGAACAAAGGAAATTTTCTTAAAAGGCCTATAAAATTAAATTAAAGACATTATTAAACCGCAAATTAGTGTTTTTGTCAAAGTAATTTTTTCCAACAAATCAACTTATTCAAATTTCATCGTTTGCGAAATTGATCGAAATCTCCACAAAAAAATGTTAGCGATAACTTCAGCAATACTAAATAATGTGAGGATTTCAAAATGTTCACGCGTTTTGAAAAAAATTTCTAGTTTACTAAATTCTTGGTCACATTTATATGAATTTGTTCAGGGAATCTCTATCTATAAAGGGCAGGACGTGTGTGTGTGTGTGTGTGTGTGTGTGTGTGTGTGTGTGTGTGTGTGTGTGTGTGAATGCACGGCCGCAATTTTCGTCGGATTTGCACCAAAATTTACATGCACATGCTCCAAGTTAGCGGGAAGGCCAAGACCGACTTTGCATTTCCCAACTCCCATCGATAGTGGAAATAATCGATGTTTTCATACTTCTACGACAGTTTT